TTTTAGACGCCATCAGTAAAATATTGAAAATCAAAATTGTTTGGCTGAAAAGATAATGAATTTGTCACATTCAGTTTTTCTAACAAAAAAGAAAACCAAAACTGAACTCTTTTCAGCTGAGAATGTTCTCAACAACACACATAAACTCAAAATCATATAAGCTGTTAGCGTGGATTATATTCATGCAAAGTTACAGCAAACATCTATCCATAATTTATATTGCTATGAGTATAACACATATAAATCTTTAGTAGTTCAACAACAAACAAATTTTTATTCTCCATTTTAGTAAAACATTTAATTAGATTAAATCACAAGGACCCTATTCAAAAAAAACTGTATGGCTTTAATTTGATTTAAGGAATTATTTTTGGTAGAATGGTGCATGACTATTAGAAGAGACGGGAACAAGAGTTTACACTGCAATATTTACTAAAAATGGTCCAGATGATAAGTAGACAACTTGAATTTTAGCATATTTTGTTTTCAAAACTGCTGTTCCCAAAATTAAGCTTTCTTCAATGTCATTCGACTAGCAGGTATGTCGACAAGTTTCTGAATTTCACTACTAGTAATCAATGACTTAAAATTACAAATTCAAAATTATTGTAACAATATATTCTGACAATAATGCATGTTTAAACTTTGAAAAGTCACGCTCTACTTAAAGAAATATTTGTCTTGAATAAACTAAATTATGAGGTACAACTTTTTCATTACTATTTTCCAAAAATTTATGAAAATGTTGTTCTGTTAAATGTATTTGAAGAATTTATTATAAATTTGAACATGAATAAAGTAATAGAAATTTAATTATCGTGGAGAAATTTCAAAAATCATCAAAATTCATGGTATAGAGTACAAGATAATTCACGTAAATTTCCTCTTTGATCTGCAGTCAAACGAACGGTTTTAATTATTACTAAATAAGATTTTCTGAAGAAAGTGTTTTCTTTAAAAGGAAGTACAATCTGTGTTTCAATACTTCTCGTAAAATATTTCTAGAAATAGAACATGTTGAATTAGATCAAAATAATTATCATGGAAACAAATCTCCATCCAGAACTTCACATTATTATTAGTTTAATGCATATTATTGTAAAATTATGACGAATCAAAATATTACGTAGAATAATGTAGTTTGATATATTCGTCAATATTTAGTATATTTATAAGTCGTTTTAATATCATGTCTCGTACTATCTTCTAATTCGTTGAATACTAAAGATCAATCTCAATAAGATGCATCCAGATCGTGTTTTTATCATGACAACAAGTACCTAATCCCTTATTATTTGTATGCTCATTTGCGTAGTTAGTTGTTAGAGAATTGCATATTAAAGTTGATCTCTTAGAGATCGAAACACTTTGCTTTAAGATTAAATCTGTTCTTTCGTGATGGTCTCTAATTTCCTTCTTGTTATATATGTTAAATTAATAGTTATACGTCTGGTGCTTATTTCTTAAGATGGAATCCGTATGTAACGAAATCAACTCAATGAGATGCGTACTTCTGTCTTAATTGGCTGTCGATTCATATTCTATTTGCTTTTTTCATTTCTCATTTATTCGTCGAATGAATGTTCTGGCATGCTTATTTTGGAAAACAATGAAGAACAAAAATATCAGCCGTGTCGTCGAGCTTAGTAGCCTCACGTTAACATAAAACTGCGTAGTTGTAATACTGAAAAAGAAAATTTCCATTTTTGTCAGTCAAAATCACAATAAAGAAATACCAATGGAAATCTCAAGCTAAGTCGCAATTAATTCGATATTGTTTTGCTTCCTTACTCACGTTTGCTTTTCAAAACTATTTTCATATGCTTTTCTTCTAGTAAAAAGAATATTGAATAGACTATTTATTTTTATTAATAGATATTTTTCATACTTTGTTAATAATTAATACCGATAATATTTTTGTATTGGTGTAGATTTTTTCATACATACAAAACCAAAGTATAATATGAGCGTCTGACATAAAACGTTGCAAAATTACCAAGCCGTCTCTGACAGAATCTGAAGTATATTTAATAGTTTTTCTCTACTTTTTCTATGCTGTTTCTTTTATTGAGTAAAGAATACAAAATTATTTTACTTTTATTTGATGCTATTTAATGAAAGACTATTTCTTTCCGGTAGATGAGTCCAAAGGCATAGAAATTACAGCTGTGATCTTAAAAAATTTATCAGTGTGTAAAATTTTTGATGGAAATTGTCTTTCTATGAAGTTTGGATCATCAAAGATATTACATCTTTTCATCTACCAAACAGAGGTGTTTATTTTACATAAAAAATATTTTTAATTATTCTATTGATAGAACAACTCAAAACTACCTGCAACAATACTTCATTTCAAACGACGTAAGAATACTGGAGAGTTTCCGGGTGCATTCTTATCTTATTAAATATCCATATAAGATAAAAAAGAATAGGATAATTTTTCTAGAACGGTAAGTAGAGATTTTCATTCTTTAACTTTGCAAAGAAGATAAAGAATTGAAAGAGTTTTTCTTATAGATATTAAGTTAGTAGAATCAGATATTGAGTTAATGAGGGGTGTCCAAGGACTGAGGATTAGGAATTCCTCATCAATTCCCCTACAGTTCTTTGCATACTAAAGGTAAAAATATGGAATATTCACGATAATTTTTGTTCTTACACTCATTTTCACTTGAAAAATTGTGAAAATCAATAATTTCATGCAAAAATTATTTTTAAAACAGCAATATTGCGACTTTCGTGAATGGTGGAACTGTGAGGGAACCTATAGTTGATTCTCATTTCCTCTAGGAATTATCACAGCGGCACTGACAATTTCTCGACACATTAGGAATTTCTATTTCTCACTCCTTGGACACTGCTGCTTTTTTATGTTCAACTGTACAAAAGTTTACCATCGGCAATTTAAAGACTACTGAAATGTTTTTTCTAAACTTTATGATAAGCATTTGTATGAAATTAAATGAGAAATAACCCGTTTCTTATATCTCACTTCCATGTACCAAGTAAAATATGAAACAAATAAATAAATACTATTTCTTTCATATAATCTAGTACTTATATTTGATCTTATAGTACTAAAATATTAGTTTTTATTATTATTTCATTCTCTTATGAAATTCAAAAGTCTGGCACGATGAATTCAGATAAAATTGGAAAATTCTAAATAATTTGATTCGAAACAAAATTCATGTTATTATCATATGAAGTATCAGATAATTATTTCGGATTTTTAACATTTTTGTCATTGCTATGATCAGTGTCAACCACCGCTTTAATTGCTTCTTGAGTTTGTTGTTGAATTGTTCTTAGTTGTTCCGGAGATATTTGCTGTTGAGTTGTTCTTAGTTGTTCCGGAGATATTTGCTGTTGAAGTAATGATGGTGCTTTGCTTTTGTTGGGTTCGACATAGTTAAAATTATTACGACCAGATGATCTATGCATCATGCGTGCCATTATGATTTATCAGTACTAGTTTAAATGAAAAACAAAAATAATGAATTTTTGTATATAGGAAAGATATTATTGTACCACTGTGTTGCACGTATTGTTCTACTGATGTGTTCAAGACACTGGTAAAGTTTTGATCTACAATAATATAATAATCTTAATAAGTATTGAAAAATGAAAAAGATAGAAGCAATTTAAAAAAAAGCATCGAAAAACAATTTATTTTCATGTTTTTCTTGTTAATATTCATATTCGATAAATTATCTTTCATGATGGTATAGGAGTTTTTAGCTTGCGTCTAATTTATAGCAAGATGAATTTTACCATGCAAATATTTTTATATGAACAGTTATTATCGGATTGTATGTGCTAGAGACATACCATTGTAATAAACATAAAATAGACTTTTATTATGAAGTAAATTAAGTTTCGTTTTAATTCATTGATGATAGCTAATGTGTTAGTTTTTTGATTGAGTCGGAAATTTTTTTAACTATATTTAGCTGTTGTTCTTCACTGAATTCTTGAGACGTATTTGTCGTGTTTTTGTGAATTTCTACTTGGGCAGGTGGTGTCGCTAAACGAGATTCACGTAAATTAAAATCAGCTAACCGATTTTTATTTTCACTCACACTTTGTGTCGATCGGATTCTTGACATAATCAAATCCTCGTCGACCAGATGTAGGTTGAAGCATCATTTTTTAGGTTATTTTTATTTTTGATACCATGATTTTTTCAGGTAACGATTTATACTCTTATTATTGCACAACTACTTAGCAAGATATGAATCTATTGGCAATCACATAACCTTACTCGTAAGCACACGTAGCTTTTTATTTATGTATTTGTTTTTCTCTGAATCATTCAATTGCACCAATGACGAATTTTTAATCAGGATACGAAACACAAATCATGCAAATAATCACAGTCAATTTGAAAAAAATATTTCATTAAAGATTTTCATATTCTAATAAAGAATGATTGAAAATATTTTCTGCATAAAATATAATATTATTTTGTTTAAGTTCAATAATATATCTCATGCCACAATTTTATTCCATTTCATTTTGTTTTCACAAATTTGTTTCAATATTATTCAAAATTCTTTACTCAAGCTATTCGAATAACGCTTCGCGTAATATTAATTGCAACACATTTTCTGTTATTAACACGTCCATATACTTCTGTTTTAATTTTAGTATTTACATGTTGCTAAATATCTTCTTCAAAATAATCTTGTCAAATGCATAAATCATAATTTCATTCGAATCTTCTTCGGTAAAGTTTTTTATATTTTAAATCAAAATGATGAATTCAATCAAATAATTAACTATTATTTGATATAATATCGCTCATTATTTTGTTACTATAATCAGTGTAAAAATAAAAATGGAAACAATTTTGATGATACGATTTTAAGAAGAATCACATTATCGACGTGTAATGCATGAAAGCTATAACACAAGTGTCTAATTTTACAATAGAAAAAAACTATCTTGGAATATTTGTCTTGATTAGGAAAACAAAGTAAATTCTGCAAAAAAAAACATTAGTCCTCATTCCATCCACCTCGTACATAATGTGGATCGTATTTAATTCCATTTCGTTCTAATAAAGCTTTAAATTCTGCTGGATTATTTCTCTCCAAATCCTGTTGATACCAAAGTTCACCTAGAAAAAGAAAAATAAACAGAACAAACCCTATTTAAAATTGAAATTTTTTTTCTTTTTCGAACCAGGTTCCCAAAGTGTTCCATTTGTTCTTGCTCGTTGTTTTAAATCTTTTCCGTTATGACCTTGTTCTCTTGTTCTCCAATTCCACCAAATTCCGCATTTAGCACATTCGATAACATTGCATAAACCTTTCTCTTTCAGAGTCAGAAGACGACATGTTGGACATTCACGTATGTGTCCTGATTGAATCATCTGTTTAAATGCTAATATTTTTTTCAAATAAAAAGTAACATCAATGAAAAACAGAGTAATAAATAGATATAACATACTAATATCAAGATCTCCATCCGTTCCTTTTTCAATGGTTTGTTTAATGTTACATATTTGACATGTCACTTCTTGTTTTCTAGGTTCACCAAATTGAAGAAAACCACCTTGTTGACATTGAATACATGTTATAAAATTTTCATTACGAGACAACTTTTTTAACATATAAGTCGTTATAAATGATAGCAGCTCCGCATGTGTTAAACGACCATCTTCGATTATGTTTTTAGCATCACATGGAACACTACATACTTCTGCAGGACATGGAATCCACGGAAGAAGATCGCTATCACGAATCCGTGTCGATAAATATTGATGAAAATCGTCCGGACATATCACACGATGACCGCATGCCTATTGTGATAGTTAAAAACAATTTGCACATGAAAATGTTTTAATTTCAATGAATTTATTCAGTTATGTGAGATGTGTTCAGTCAAATAGAAGAGAATATATCAATGGTTCTTCGTTCATTTCTCATGACAAATATCGATTTTAAAAATTCAGTTAGGTTCTGATTCGTATTCATATTTTTATCATTTTATAGTTAGCTTCACGGGTTTCTAATTAGGTAATTTCAATATCATCTTCGCTCAAAAATCAAAATCAAAATATTTAAAAGTCGAACACAATCTATGACATCTTTATGGTATATAATTATGAACATAGTTGAGATTCAAATATAAGAAAAGGCTATTCGATTCCAAAATGATTTACTTAACAAGTTGTTTCGATATTATGAAAAGAATTTTAAAATTTAAATGATTCATTCAAATTAATCGCGATAAAATGCGGGAATAATCAGTTTATCATGTCTTAAAAATGTGATTTTTTTTCAATGAGAACCGATTAATATTAATTTAAATTTGTGTATGATTAATATTTCATATTTTATCAGCGCTTACATTCATCGTAATCACAGGTTCCTCTTGATCATAACAAATTTGACAATATGGAAAAACCAACTGACCTACATAAATTTATTGTTTATCAATTATTTTCGTTTTTAGCAATTATGTAGTTACCTTCCGATTGCTCATTTTTATATTGAAGTGAATGAAAAAGTTTTAAAATAATTTCATGTAACTGTTTATCCGACGATAGTTTTTTTTGCTGCCGTTGTTCTTTTAAAATATTTATATATTCATTATAATATGATCTCAATTCAGCATCATTCATTGGTTTTTCTACTGCTTCAATAGATTTTTGTTTTTTTTCTTTATTTTGTGACATTGGTGTCTCATATGTTTTATCATCGTAGTGGTTGTCATCTGAGTTCTTTACATCGTCATCGTTGTCATGTTTATTCGTTCGAAATTTTTTAGTGGGAAAGTCATCAACATCAAATTCATGTCCACACATTTCGCAAACTAAGAAACAGAACAATACGTGTATTTTTTTAAAAATTGTAATCAAAAGAAACCTCTAATATGGCGACCGCCATTAACAAAAGTACAGGCAGGACACGCAATTTTGGTATCATCATACGCAAAATCTTCTGTTCTTTTTGATTTTGAACGAAATGAATTGGGTGTTTCACACTAGATACAATAGATCAATAAACTGAATCTGAACAAGAAAAGATATTTAATTTATATATATATATACCATTTCACATTTTGCTGTATCAATAGATTGTATATATGTACAAATAGAACACGAATACGTTTTCGATGATTTACTCATTTTTATCTAAAATATAAAATAAATGATGAATATTTATTAAAATATAATCACAGTCGACACTTATTCAGCAATGAAAAAAAGAAAAAAAAATTCAAACTAGATTTTATTCAATAAATCATCGACTGTTTGAGAGTCGTCAGGTAATGATGGCATTGCCGTTGTTGTCGAGACACTAGTACGACCGAAGTTTATAAATTTAAAGAAAAATCAATGAAAAATGTCTCTTACTTAACAAATGGACGTGTCGAAATTGAATTGATACCAGTAACATAATTTCGTCTAGAAAATAATGAAAAAAATTTAAAAAAAATATAATCTTTTTTTATTTATTTTAATATTACCGTTGATGATGTTTGCTAATTGTTGATGTCTTATAATCCATTTGATCATCGCCTAAATCCAGTGACCCATCTCGATTATTATCAACAATCTTAAATTTCGGTTGTACTAATGATCGAGTTGACATTTCGACCTTTAATTATCAAATAGAAAAAATTGATAACAACGATTATTTTATTTACATCTCGTATGTCTTCATCTTCACTTGTATCGATATCACTGATATCATATCTAGGACGTTTATTTATTGAATACTCTATATAATTCCCTGTTGTTGTATGTCTAGGTGATGTACTTGAAGAATGCATATTATTATATGGATCCACAACTACATATTAAAAAACACGAAGAAGACATCTTCATTTTAAAAAAATAAAAAAATAAACTAACCATTTTCCCTTGAGCAAGAAGAACGTTCATCTTGATATAATTCAATTTGATGCTTTAGTTTCGATAGTTCATCCTTTTTTGCATTCAATACGAGAACAAACTAGAGAAAACAAAAAAAGAAGGTTGTTAACTGTGCTCAGTTCTGATACTTCCGAATGAAATTTTTGCGATGGCATGCCTTTTTATTTCAAGGTAAAATACCAATGACTCCTATTCACTATTGTATTTGTTTTGGTGACCGTCAACAACTACAATGTCGATCATGACGAACACGATGTAAATTTGGCTTATATGATACAGATAATGACTTTAGCCAATCATTTTAAGCTTGTGATGTATCTTAGTCATCTTACGTTAGATATTTATACTACTTCGTTGAAAATTACGAAACTAGTCTTGTAATATTAGCTCAACGAAGAAAAAGCTTTTTTTTCTAGAAGAATCACTTCAAATTTCATTCAAATTGAATACAATTTGTATACTATTTATTAGAAACTGTCTTTTTCGCCCGTGCTTTTTTCTCTATCAAGTTAATCGGACATAGTTGTTTTTAAACCTTGAGTGGCCATTAATAATATACAAGATACGTGGGTACCTTTAATTTATCACCAATCGTAAATATTTATGTACACTGACATACGTATTGATCAGAAAGGAAAAAAACCCGCTGTTAAAAAATATAATAGCTTTGATAGAAGACAAATATGTCAATGCAATAAAAATACTGCTTAAAATCCTTATGGATCAGTTTGAATTTTCAAGCATACATAATCAACATATGCAACTTACTGAAGACAAGCCTCGTTCCATGTTTCTTTCGAATGGTAATAATTTATCGGTTTCTTCTATGATTTTTTATGTGTCCACTATTGATAGGTTCAGATAGTCATGCATTAGTTCGCGATAATCAATCAACAGCAGAATCGAATTCGACTAAACGTTCACTGATGAATACATCGTTATGCAAAACATATAAACAACCTGACTCATCAAAACAATTTAACACGTGCACTCAATGTTATCCAGATCGATTACGATCGAAACCGTTTCGAGTTATTTCTACAGAACGTCATTCTGATAATGAAACAGCTAGATCGACATCATTTGCAATCGAAAAACCATCGAATATAGATAAACAAAAAATATCTATAAATAGTGATATAGAAGTAATCGTGGAATCATCTGACAATAAAATTACGACTAAATCAAAAAATGATTCATACACGTCTTTACATAACTTTGGAAATCGTGAATCTAGTATAGATTCAACTGTAAGTAACTCAAGTATTATTTCACAATCAAGTTTATATCAACTTCTTCTTCGACCAAAAGTTCATATAGAAGAAAATATTGTTGATAATACAAAAAGTACCGTATCTACTACCATTTCTATTTCTGATATTGATCCTATTCCTAAGTCTGTTCCTGTTTCTAATTCCTTACGTTTATCAAACGAACAAATCAATTATTATAAAAAACGTGAAACCGAATTAAACCACAGTGCTAAAGAGCTTATCGAACGTTTAAAAATAAAAACAAATGATAGCATCAATCAAATATCAAAATATTGGTTTTATTTGAAGCAATTCTCTTTAGATAAATTGCGAGAAAAAACAAATCATAATCAACTATTTTATTATTTATTAAAATCGTTTAATCTAAATAAAGAATTTAAAAATTATTTGGAAACAAATGATGAAATTACAGCTGCATTACAAGTTTTATCAACAACATTAATTATTGTTCGGGACAACTATTCACTTGCAGAAATTGATCAGATTTTTGATAAAGAAGAGAAAAAAACAATAAAAAATCTACGTGATGAACATGAAGCTTTACTCTCATCTTATTATGATGAACTTTCAATTATTCATGAATGTAGTCTTGTGTATCAAAAGTGTCTGAACGAAGGCAAAGATTTTCATTGGACAGAAACAATTAACAATGATTATCCGGCTCTAATTGAAAAGGTCTCCGAGGGTTTTATTAATAAAGCTCCTCAAGTAGAACAAGTACTTCTAAAAATGCTTTCGAATGTGAAAAAACGTTTGCATAATAAAATGGAAAATTATGAATAAAAATATTATTTCACTGTTAATTTACCTTTCGATAAAGATCACTTTCAAGTTGTTCCTTTAAATCAACTGTTCGTTTAACTGCCTAAAAAAATGAGAATTATTAAAAATGAACAAATACTTTTTATATATGATTTACTTCAAGAGCTTTATTTAATTGACTACTGCTACGTTGAATTTCATCTATTTTTTGTTCATTTTCTGATCGTAATATTTGCATCTCATCAATAGTATAATCCATGATTTTATTTAGAACCTAAACAAATCATCATTTAAAGAATTAAATAAATCAAGTTCCATACTTCTTCGTTTGGTCTTTCTTGAAGTTCAATACTACCAATAATCTTTAAAGAATTTAATGCTTCAACTTTTTCTTTCCACACAAACTAGAATATGATAGGAAAACATTCAGTTAGTTCAAATAACACTCTATTCGTAATGATTTAACTCTGATGAAATATAACATTGTTCGACATGAGTCAATATTACTTTTAAGTAAGCCTTCGAAGCTGCCAAAGACACATAAAGTTATAGTTATAGTCAATGATACTATATTTTCTTTAATGCTTACCTTATAAATAAAGAAGATATGTTTCTGTGCTAATCAGAGTTAAAATCATTTTAACATTTATATTTTAATATTTAGTATTTTTCAGCTCAATTGTTATCTTCTAATTAATTATATTGGTTAATTCATAATTGATTAATGCATTCTAATCAAAATTGAATTTCAAACACGTTGAAATCAATATATAACTAATCACTCAAATGAATCGAATGTTATATTTTCTTAGACAATGATCATGAAATACATTTCAGTTTGATCAAATGTAATAATTACTTCATTTTCTTATGAATACCTATTAACTTAAAACATTACCGAAAATTCTACTAGGTAGTAGATTTTTTTTTTGTTTTTTATTCAACATACTTCAAGTCGATCGTGTTCAAGATTTTTGCAAGTAAATACATAAGTTCTCCCATCAATTTTCGTCGTATTTCCTTTAGAAAAAGCTCGTTGTGTATGTGAATAAAATGAATCATTTGATTCAGATGGAAATTTCTTTGCCAAGACTCGAATTTGTTCTTCATTGACTAAAATTGATTGTTTATGAACCAACAGAATATTTCATAAATATACTTACGAATTCCGACCCAACTATATTTGCAATTCGTCAAATGAATTAAAATAGTATTATTCTGTTCATCAATTGTACTTTTGACATAATACCGTTCGCTTTTATCATCGATAATTTTAATAAAATAAATAAACTCATTCACTGTTGCGCGTGCCATTTTCTAGAATTTAAAAAAAATAATTCACTGGGATTTCTCAAAATATTTCATTATACTAGAATTTTGAATTCCTTTAGATAAATAAAATAGAATCGAAAAGATCATAGAGAATGTCTTGTAATATATGATGGAATTTCATGCAAACAAGAGAAAGATAGAAATATGACAATCAAGTCAAGAGTAGTAGTAGACAGCAAGCAAATACAAATGACTCATCGAATCAATAACAAATTTCAAACACACTAATGCACTTAGTAGTACACCATCACTGCCAGTTTTTAAAACGGTTTTATTGATATCATTTTGTTTCTAAAAATGAGCTAAAGCTTCTCGTGTATTTTGATTTTTCGGCTTCCGAACTGTTTCCGAGAAAATCATATTTTCTGTGGGCCAATCGTCAGCTTGAACACAACCAATCACACCCCAGGTCGAAGCAACCGGCCCGGGAAATGACCGGTTCCTGTGATTTCACGGAAGCAGTATTCCGGATCGGAAAATCTACGAATTTTTCCTGTAAATTCGGCCAAGTTCCTGCTGGTTCCCGCCGGAAGTAACCGGAAAAATCCGTCCCGGAATCCTGCTTCCAAGGTCCGATGATATCCGGCGTTTTCTTGCACGTTCCGGTGCGTTTCCAGTATGTTTCTGACCGGTTCCAATGAAATCCGCTTATTTCCGGAGGTCGGAAACATCGTCCTGGGACTAAAAAATGCCATGCGTTTAACAAGACATGTAATGACTACAGACAGGAAAGCGTCTTAAGTTCCTGTTTTTCGTAAAACATTGTTATAGCTATTGACCAATAGATCAATTTTTTTACTTTCTTTCGCAGCTATGAGAATTTATTTTCGTATGTTAAACAAAGAGTCTTATTCGATTTCTTGAAAATATTTAGGATTTCATTCTTTCCAAAACTAGTTTTCCCGATGACTTTTCTGCCATGAACTACTTCATCTTTTAACTCGAGTTGAGGATATTCGTGTTTTTGAAGAGATCCGTATCTCTCTATTCGATATCTGAAGTGAAGGGGCTTTAAAAATATGCAAATCATTTTACCGAAATTTCTTTTTTTTATTTATTTCTAATATATTTTCAAGTTTTTTATTTGTTTCCTAGATGATAGAAAAATTATCAAAAATAACTGATTACAGTTATATTTTAATATTGTATATTTAAAAAATACTTAAGACTTTTATTTTTTCGTTTTAGACTTGTGTTGCATGAGTTTTTCCAGACGCTTCTATCAATCTATGGTTCACTAATTCAAGAATTCATATTTTTATATGAACATTAGATATTAGAATAAATGTTTTCAATGAAATAATTTTTTACACTTTACCTGAGTTAAAATTATATTTAAAAACTACAGAAATTATTTTAAAATATTTATGTATATATATATTTTTTTGATGTTTAATGAAATTCCTCAAAAATGAGACTTACTCAAATAAAATAGTTTTGAACATAATATTTTATTCCAGATGAATATCACCTTCGAGGAATTTCATTAAACATCAAAAAATAGACATACAAAATTTTAAAATAATTTCTCTAGTTTTTAAATATAACTTTAATTCAGGTAAAATGTAAAAAACTAATTTCATTGAAAATATTTATTCTAATATCTAATGTTCATATAAAAATATGAATTCTTGAATTAGTGAACCATAGATTGAGAGAAGCATCTAAAAAAGACTGCTGTAAGACGCTTAAATGCATTGATTTAAATACTCCAATCAGGATCGATTAAGACACGTACGTGTCCCAAATCGGTTATCCGCGGACACTTTCCAGGAGGATCATTCCGACAATCGGACCCAATAAGATCCTATAGGATTCCGGTCGGATTTTATATAAATTTTCAAAAAAACTAGCGAATCCCTATCGGATCCCTAGTGTCGGAATAGCATTGTATAATCATCAGATCCTACTGTCGGATTGTGACGGATCCAACGTTCGAGTCGGACTACCCTCTAATGTTGGCTTGAGGTACTAATTAGTGGTCAATGAATTAAATGCTTTTTCCGTCGGATCCGTTAGTGGTTCCGTGACTCGGAATCCCATCGAATTTTATAGGCTCGTTGGATCCGATATAGGATTCATTCACCTGGGTTACTTAGATACTTCAATTGAAGTGTCTAAATACGACGTTAACAACCAATCAGAAAAAGTGCTAAGTGTCTTGTTTAGACGAACGAATCGTCTTGTTCATACATTTCATGTGTCTTGATATTTTACAGTGTGCAGTAATGTGTTGATGGCGCCATTCTTCTCTCACCAGTAAGCGGTAAGACTAGCTACACACACGCTATTGTGTGTAGCTTATCATTTTTATTTTAACCAATCAAATTGCGTTCCACACAATACCTATTTTTCTTCTGTGATACCAGAATGATACGACATTTTGTACGTGCACACACACACACATATCCACTGATCAAAACGATCAAGCCAGTATAGATTTTGTAGTTTAGTAGTAACTAGAATATTTCTTAGTAGGCCTATTATATTTTCTCCTACACTATAAAATATTACATCGCTTTATTGAGATAATTTAAATTATAATTGTATGAATCCAAACCATATGACTTAGGTTTAAACATTTTTGCAAATGATCGTGATCTCCTTCTAAATTAAGAATTTAATTTAGTGAAAAATTGAGACTCAATAAACAGAATGTTTACTATTTTAATATTGGAACAAAGCATTCACAAGTAGAATCAACAAGAAAATAAATTTTAATAAAAGCAACTATTCATTAAAATCAATATTGATCACGAGACGTTTCAACTTACACTGCAATCCGATATAAACCTCAACCAAATGAGTCTTAGGCAAAAGATTAATTAGATGGCTATGAAAAATTTCAAAATAACTACAGTAAATTTGCTAAAATGGCTCAAGTGGATTATTTCATGCGTAGTTTTATTCATAGTTTCTTTCAAAGGATCACTTTTCCTATGACTTGCAACTATGAAAGATTTTTGAAACATCACTGAGTTCGTACATTTAATAAAATTGGAGTCAGTTTTATTAATAATAACTCATCTGAGCAAGATGTCATTAAGCGAATTTGGTTTCACATATAGTTTCTCAAGAAGTACCGTGAAGTCTTATTATTTGTAAAACAACTGCGAAGAATGTTATTGAATGCAGATATATTTATAGGCATTATGGAATCTTTATAGCGATAAGATATGCTCATTGACACTATGAAATAAACTGCGTTGACGTAGCTTACATATACATGTGGACAATTCAAACATAACTTTTAACAATACTGAAATCTTCAATAGTTAAATTTCATAAAAAAAACATAATTTAAAGATGTCTTCTAACTTTCAGAATGAAATGCATGAGTAATTTGTAGAGTAAAACGATTTCTTATAAGTGCTACAAAAAGACTAGTATTGATTTTCAATAATAGCAGTACTCTTTCAAGATTTATTGATGAAAAAAGCATCGCAAGATGAAAATAAAAACTCAAACTATATCACGTATATGTATAAACTTGTGCAAATAATATGTTCGGTTGTAAAGTAAAGAACATTTTTATATAGTTGGGTATTGTAATAACATCATAGTAAAATAAAAATTTAGATACTGACTCTGAAGTGTTGCTGAATACAAAGAAAAAATTGTGAAGTATCACTTTTGTCTATAGTGTCAGCAAAATTTTCATTTAAAAGTTGAATATTCTATAACTTATTTAACACTCGAATATATCTATTCAATTTCTGGTTGTTTAATTCTCAATGTAGATAAATTTTAATTATTCATTTGTTTTATATTTTTTATTTCATGAAAATGACGCCCTAATCAACATCGTATTTGAAACATTCAAGATCAATATTTTCTTGTTCATGTCATTATATTGCCAGGTTTGACTTTTCAATGAAGTATATCATCTGTCTCTAAAATACACGCTTTACATTGTCACCATGCATACCCTGAACCTCTCGAATAACTTATGTATAGCTACGACTTAAGGCATCAAATACAAGATGATTTCTAAAACATTTTGTTAGCTCTAGATTTGATTAAAGTAATGCTTTTTCCCAGATTAATTTTCAATTGGGAAAATAATCATAATAATTTTTGAGAAACATTCAATATGACACCAATTTCATATTATGAAGAATAATATTCTCCCAGGTGAATCAATCCGATACCGAATCCCATCGGATTCTATGGGTCCTACCATTCGACGAAATCCCGTTGGATTCCTGGTTGAGGAATCAATGTCGAATCCGACAGTCGTATTTCCAATGATATCCGATTCTCAGAACCAATGAAATCCGAAGCATTCCGGTTCCGATTGACGGTTACTGTCGGATTTTATTAGTTTCCGATATTAGGATCCGATATCGATTCCGCAACCAGGAATCCGACGATAATCCGATAGTTTCCTTGCGTCTTCCGAAGAGCTCCGCCGGATTCCAATAGGAACCGATCGGAACTCATCGGATCCTAGGCTAGGATTCATTCTCCTGGGCTGTAGATCACAAATCAAATGGCACAAAAAGAAACAACAGCTATTGCTTTCACTTCATTTGAGCTGAAAATATAATTTTTCCGTAGATAAGAAACAAAATAAAATTATCATAATCATTTACGATTTCGCATGAAATTTGATGATGTTGTGTTTCGTTAAGAACAGCTACTATGTTGTATTTCAATGTCGTTCTGCTATGTCTACGATGAAATGTATACATGCGCATGTTTATATATATATTCTAAGCTATAGAAAGAACAAGTTAAATCTTAGTGACAAGAAAAATAAAGATATGAATATCCCCTTTAAAATTCAATTAAAACAAATTCAATTAATAAAATAATTTAATCAAGCTAATAACTAAGTTTTTCTATTACAAAGTTGATAAATGTAAAAGGATTAGAAACAACAAATACAGGTTTATATAAGGTTTTTAGGATTATATAATCATCTCAACTAGCTAAGATGGTTGATACAGAAAAACTATGTTCTAACTTTGGTACTGATCTTCATCGTTGAGTATAGTCTCGTCTATAAATTTGTGGAAGTATTATCGTATTATAAGAAGTTTTTCTTGAATTAAAAACCGTTATTATCTCGAGAATTTTACTGAACTTGTAGATATTCATTGAGATTCACATCTTGCTATAATTTCAAATGACAATTGTTCAACAAACTTCGATCAAGCCGTCGGTGAATCCTGCCACATGAAAAACCGTTTCAATATTTTTCTTGAACATTTTGAATTATTTTTATTAGATCTGACTCGTCTTATAGTTTTTTTACACCCTTTTTTTGTTTTTTTTTGATCACATATCATATTTGACAAACTAGTTATTGTATACTCCGAATCACTTTTGTATAATAAAATTAATGATGTTTTCTTTTTCTAAAAATTCTATTTAAATTCTGGCAACAAAGTGAAAGAATCTTGAATACATTTGATTTTTGTAAAAGAAACGCTAGAAATTCGATTTTCTTAAACGATTGTTTATATGTATAACATGATAGGTGTTATCCTTCAACGCTATAATGTGGAATCCAGCGCTTAGAGGAATCGTACAATATGTCGCAATGGCGATTTTGTGTGTGTAGCTTATCTCAACCGTAGTTTCTTCCTCGTTTGTATTCTATTCGTGCGAACCGTTTACTAATTCTATCAAACAAGTGAGGTCTCACTAATGTTAAATAGATAATCAAAATAATTTTCAATTGTGATCGCATACAGTTTGAAATTGCTTTTACTGGAACGCAGTGCAATACAACAAAAAAAAAATATTTTTCAAACCTGAAAATAGCAAACATTGTCGTGGCAGCAACGAATCAAATTTATTTGTTCCCATTCCAACCAATGGAAACAGCAATAACCTGAATGTTATCTACAAATACCCACTTTCTTTCCACCGCCTTTTCACATTATTATACAAATATTACTCATTTCTATATCATATTTCCGCTAATTCTTGAATCTCAACACTGACAAGCGACTCATGTCTCCCCAAAATGCATATATAATCTCCCATCAAACAGCAGCTCTTTGAAACAAACATGTGTATCCAAAACAATCTTTTATTTTATATCGTAACTTACCTATCTTAAAGACCTGATCTGTCCAGTCATACTGAACAAATAATGTTACTACGACGCAATCATCCAAGTAAACTATTTATTATCCCAAAAAATTGAAGTTACATACTCATCTAATTTAGACTTACCGAGAACCCCGGCACGTATGATGTCTTCACGTGAACGAGCCGTATCACATATACTATCCCGCACAGACTATTTATCCATAACAGTAGTACAAGCAACACCACATGCAAACACCCACTCAGCTCTCGACCGAACTGCAAGAGAAAAAACGCCAAGAAGTAACTCATATCTTCCTAGCAAATAAAGCCGAACCATCAACAATTTCAATTTAGGAAACTTTCATTCAACCATCACTTCCAAATCGACTACCAAATGACTACGTGTCTTCATCAGACATTCGTCAGATCCTCTATCTCGATGACAAAAAACCATACGTAACTTTAAAATTTATTCTTATATGACCAAAACCAAAATTTCGTTTTTTAGATACATTTAAATCAACGACCACTTGATCATTCTGTTGAAAATCAATTTTGTTTAGAATCGCAAAATTCAAATGAAGTAACTATTCAACTTCAATCTTCTCTAACACAAACACATATCCCTTTTCTTTTGATGAATTTAACTGAACCCCCACGTGATGATCATATTGACAATCCATCTGTTTTGCAATTGAATTATACAAATGATAAACTTGCTAATTCTACAAATGAAGTAACTATTGCATTTCAATCTTGTGAGAAAAACACGAATTCTTTATTTTTAGGAGAATTTTGATGAACAATCGTGTGAATTTCAATTTGGAGATGAATTCAGTTTAAATCGGGAAAATATGACTCCATAATTCGTGTGTTATAAGGAAAATGAGGTAACGTTTCTTTCTAGCTGATACAACAATAAAACAAATGCTGTTTTTTTAGGACATTTTTGTTGAATCGATGAAGCAATATGGTGTGAAGAATGATTCTTTACCGTTAGAAGTTTGTCAAGACGTATATGTAGATTGTAGTGAAAATAAGGTAATTAAACTTTAGCGTCTTGCGCAATCATCAGAATATTTTTTTTGTTTACAGGAAGCAGCGGTTGGTATATATTCTGGCTATGAAGAAAAAATATCTGGTTATGAAAAAAAGAAGTCTAATTATGTACCTGGACTGTTTACTTCGTCGAATAGTGTAGAATTAAAAGCTGAAGAATGTTGCGTTGGGATGAAATCGAACAAAAGATCTGTGATACATAAACATCTTTCGCGTCAAGAAATTGAGAAGGAAATAAGCAACATGGTCGAAAGCATTTTTATCGCTGATTGAAGATGGTGACAATGAAACATTGTTCGTTGCAGATGGGTATTGCCATTTTGATGTCTTGTTTGACAAGTAAGTTTTTTCTTCAAGTTGCGATTTTTTTTATTTGCGTTTCCCAGGTCCAAGCAACCGGCCCGGGAAACGGCCGGTTCCCGCGCATTCCCGCGATTTCACGGAAGCAGTATTTCAGACCGGGAAATCTCCGGATTTTTCCTGTATGTTCCGCCAAGTTCCTGTTGGTTCCCGTCAGAAATCATCGGAAATCACCGGGAAAATCCGGAGAAATCCGTCCCGGAATACTGCTTCCCGGCTCCGGTGATATCCGGCGTTTTCCTGCACATTCCGGTGCGTTTCCTTCATGTTCCTGGCCGGTTCCAATCAAGTCCGCTCATTTCCGGAGGCCGGAAATATCGCCCTGGGTTGTAAATGTGTATTGAGTGAAAATATTGTTTATACTAAATAGCCCCAATCAATCATTATCTGAATATGCTTATTATAATGGACAACTTTATAGTTATGGCATGGATATGAAATATGTTGCCCAGATATTTTCTACTTCATATCATATTAGTCCTGGTAAGGGAATTTCTAAGTTTCATAATCGATGAAAGAAGCCTAAAATATTATTTGAAAACGATCATTTTTCTATTATTAATATTGCCTTTATTAAATTAAATTTCCTATACATTTGTATTGAGATGATGAACATAATATAGAGATGCTAATATTACCTTAATAGCAGTAATTTTACTGATGAGAATATGCTGGGATAAAATTACAAATTAAGTAAATGAATTTATTTTAAATCTTTTAAAATTTGTTTTAGAAAATTGGCGTAAATACTCTGGCTATTTGATGCATGACATTGTATATGGGTGTTGTGGAATTCACCCCATGTTTTCTCATCGATACAATTTAGCTATGGAATTGAATTTAAGAACAGTTTTATCCAATAAGCATATAATTGGTCTGGGAGAGATTGAAATTGATTTAAGAATATAAGTTTATTAACTTTTAAATCATAGTCTAACCGTGTATATAGCCCCGGCCATCCATCTCTTCGTCTTCAACAAGAAGTGCTTCTCAATCAATTACAGTTACCGAAAGAACTAAACTTGCCTGTAATGATTATATCAAGAAACAGCTTCATCGAAACGATTGATGCACTACTTGAGGTATAGTTGTTAGTACCATGTAATGATAATCTCTTTTTATCGTTATAGGTTTTGGTTTTTGAATATTACATAATCTGGAGGAATTTTGAATATGGAACCGCGGAACTGGGTATGCTAAATTCGAAATTTTCGAACATCTACTTTGGTTGTTCACCTTATCACATCACCAGCAGAGAATTACAATAGGTGATACAACAAGTTGATATTAAACGTATCATTTCATAAAGTGCAGCCCCTCACCTCCAAATACCTGAAGTAAATATTACTTAAAGCTATTTTTAAAAGATCCAATCAAATTTCCATTTTATTCCTAGTGCCCAAATATATGGGAGTCGCATCCGCTATTTGTTGGTCGCGTATATCAATTAATTCCCGAGTTATTTGATATACCTCTACGAGAAGCATCAAGCCAACTACTCAAAAGCTTTGAGACGTTGCATAACCTCTCCTAACTCTTCTGCATATATCCAGACTACCAAATCTTGTCCTTTTTCTTTCCTTCATAGGTTTTCCATTTCTTTGCATATTTATTTTCCGCTTTCTGCATATTATTATTCGTTTTCTGTATATTTGTTTATTTTGAAGAATAAACATTTCCCCGAAAGCCCCGTTCGATGTAAAATGTCGAACTCGTATATCATATACCACTTGGATGAAAACCAACGTAATACAAGATCTGATTTACCTACAATGCGTTTCAACACGTATTTAGCAACAAGATGATAAGAAGCCTTAACCTATACAATATATTGAAACCACCAATAGTGGATACGACTTCCTTTGCACTAAGAAGCAGTCACTTTCAGCTCAATTTCAAGGGAGTTGATCAAAAGCTACGCACCCAACTCCTGAAGTCGTCCCGCGCTGAGGTAAATGTACACATGACGATACAAGAAGCATACCTGAGCATACTATAAGCATATCTTAGCATGCTAGAAGGATACCTGACGGTCCTAAAAACATACCAGCCGTTCCAATAGGTATTCCTACGGATCCTCAAAGCATACCTCAGTGTGGGGCTCGTTTGTTCCACAATCAACTAACATCCTCAGAATAACTTATGGTTCTAGGTGAGAACGCTGCAGCACTCCGAAGATGGATATGTGATACCTAATCTATCCTTCCTCTTAATGGCTATCAGCGAATGTGGTGAAGATCGACTTTACTGTGTACACGAAGTCCCTTTTTGGTCGCGGCTCTGCGGGGGACGCTGCGCGCCCCCACTCCGCAACACTTAAATAAATATGTGTGTAACGTGACATACGTCGAAGTGTGGGTGTTGACAACATGTAGCAGTTATCCGTTACTAAACAGTTTCATTATTCTGTTAGACGAGTGTCAGAAGTGTTGTTGTTGATTATACAACGTTTTACTAATGGAAAGGTTCTGGCCTGGCTCACTAGTTCAGCAAGCACAGTATAAAATTTGCACTTTCTGAAACGACATCCAGCGAGGCCTCAATTCGAATTATAAAATTTCGAATTAGGATAAATTTTAAACTTTTGCTTTTTCGCCTCACTTATATCACAGCTAAAGTTTGAATTATACAATTTATATCTAGGATAAAATTTTATCTTTCCCTTTTTGCTGTAGCTCTATGAGTGTCGAATTTTTTATTTTCGAATTGATATTGTGTAGTTGAACCTTCATTTATATTCAAATTCGAATTAAGCATCTCATGCAAAAGCCTTGATAGGGTTCTCGTAGTGATAGATTCGGCAATAGCTGCTCTGAGCGTATTTTAAATTTCAATTATCTGCTCCATTGAAACCTTTTTTGTTTTTTATTACAATTGCTGAAGACAGGAAAAGGTGTATATTCCAAGCGAATATGAAACTAATCAGATCAAAACGATGTCTAATTAATTTTAAGATTGCTTGTTCCTTTTCCGTTAAATTTTTTATTTTTTCGTGTACTCGGCTCGTGCTTCGCACCGCATTTCGTATACGAGTGAAGCTCGAA